ATATGGCTAAATTTTTCTTTTATAGTACTTTGCCCATTACTACGAATTTTAATTTTCTCATTCAAAATAACATTCAAAGAATAATTACCACCGTACTATTAAACAGCTGAAGTTATACTTTAATAAATGCACGAGTAATTCTATCCGATGTAAGAATTACTGATATGATCTGATTTATTTGTAAGCTAACTACTAATTGGCCGCCCCAATCCAGAGCTTTCTGATACATGCATGATAGTAATTATTTTAGAAGATAAGTTAAGGTAGCTGTTCTTATATCGAGGATTTTATCGAACGATTTATTAACATTAACGTTAATCACTATAGACCAAGAGCGATTATTATTTTATATTTACTAGCAATAAATTAAGATTATTTAATTATCCATTCATTTCAACTATATTATATTCAATAGCCTTCTACTTCTTCTTTTGATGATATCATATAGTTATTGTAGGTAAACGCAGTTTTTAATTAAACGTTACTACGGCATTACTACAAAGTTAGAATTAAAACTTCAAAATTTTCCTTATACGGATCAGTATAAAACACTACCGACAAGTTACCGATAGCCTATCCATCAGTTCTTATACTATTTACTTATGTTATAGAATACTTTTATAAAAAATATTGTAAAGCATTACTATCTCATTACAACATTAGTCTGACATTTATGCGATGATTTAATGTCATTTAATGATTGTAGATTAGTATTATATAGTTATTTTCATTAGCAAGAAAGATAATATGATACACTAAGCCAGTACATTTGAGATAAAAATGTAAATCGTTTTTTTTCTCCTGCGCCATTACAGTTTAGCAATTTTATACGGAATATTCGCAATATCCAAGTGGTTTGGACCAATTATTACGGATTTTCTTGGTATTAAATTAAGTTGTCTAATTGCTGGAGCTTGCTATTGGTGAGTTAAGAGCCAAGGCTATCGAATTCAATATCTTGCATAACGTAAAATTTGATATACATATAAAACGATAATTCTAAGAGAGCTTGTTAGTTGTTAAATCGAAGTGTAAATAGTGATATCGACAAGGTTATTGTGTAGAGGTAGAGGTAGTCATTGATCAGAATTCGAACTAGCTACACTTTAAGTACTACTATTCACATACAGATATTGAAAAACATAAAATAATTCTCATCCAGTATCACTTATATTTTCTTTAATAAGCAGTGTAAAGTTCGCATGAAAGTCCAGTAGTACTTTCTTCTCTTGTCTACCGTACAGTATATACAGTAATTTGATATGATTTCATAAGCAAAATAATGCTGTAAAGTGCTTTATATCTCATAACTACTAGTTTAGTATGAAATGAAATAAAATATTACTCTATCTAAAAATTTTTCAGTGTAGTGGCAACTTAATAATTCTGACATAGATGAAAACAACATCGAATATGAGTCACTAATGAGTGATTAACATTAATAGATTAAAGTGTTCTATCGAGTTTATTATATTTCTTGTTTGTATATTTATATTCGCGTGTTAGTTTTTACATGGTCTCGTTTATCTACCCGTTCATTGAAACTATCTATATTGCAGCCGCACTCACTGGACTTGCCGGTGGAGGTAGGGTTCACGTGCATCTTTTATCTCAATATATTTACAAACAGATTTGATTTTCAATGACTATAGTTTACCTTAATTTGACGAACACGTTTGATGATTTTATTATTGTAAATCTTATGAATTATTCTTTCTAATAAATTATTTACGTAAGACAATAACATCTTTTTCCTGATGGAATACAACGTACACAATATAAACTATACAAGCATATTTATTAGCATTTGTTAAGATTTGGTGTACTGTAATTTATGAGTTTTTGACTATGCATTATGGTAAACATCATTTTACTACTGAGAGTACCTTCATCAATACTTAGTGAAAGGAATAAATCTGTCATTGTGTAAACCACCTTGGATCTTTTCTATTTTGTAGTACTTTGGACAGCTCAAGCTAATATTGTGATATCCAGTACTGATACCAAGCATTCGAAAAGGGATGGTCGTATCTTTTGGGGTTGTATGCAATTTAGGTACATTACAAATATTTCAATCATAAAAAAAATAATTACTGTTAGACACTAATAAATCTTCCTCTGTGTAAAAAACAAGTAAGAATAGAGATGTAAAGTTTAATTTCTTTGTTACCGTTTAATCTTAATTTTATATTCCATCTATTTCAGTCGTTTATTGGGTAACGTATTCTTGGTGTGGATACTAAGTGGTACCAAGGCAATAGGTCTGGTTCTTTTTTAACTTTTTGCATTCGATTAAAGTTATACTTCATGCTAATATAGACACTGTATTAACTTATTTGTAAAAAATTTATTGAGGACTTATCATTATTATCTAGGTCAAAATCAACGAATATTACTGTATATTGTCTTAGCAGTGGCATGTGGCGTCGGTTCAGTTTTACTTCTATTTATTTTCCCGACTAAATTTATAGAGAAATCAAAGGGTGATGAGGTAAATTAGTCACATATTAGGTTCACTTGTAATTTAAGCTTACTATGAAGATAAGCTTCGTTTTAAATTAAATTAATACTGGGATAACCTTCAATATAATTTTCTTCTTTTTTCTTATGTCGGACAACACAGAGAGCACAACTTAAGGGAGACGATGAGTAATTTTATTTTTCAATTTTGTATTGTCCAAAGTCGTAGCATACGTACTTAACTGCACAATATTATATGTTAATGCATAGAATGTTATGTAAGCTAACTATAAATTTATCATATCCTTAATGATTATAATTATAGGACCGAAACACTATCGGATAAAATTCTTAATCCCTTTAAATTATTCCGTAAGAATGTTTATATTTACTTTAATACAGTATAGAAATGATTTTTTATTTTCATTTACATAATCAACTAAGAAGCAGATAAATAATTCAAAATAGTAAATGAGATCTTTATTGTTATCTTCTTGTCAAATCTGCGTAGACCTAAGTATGAAGACTTTCTTCAACTCGAACGCTGTTTGGTTGGTTTTTATATTTGTTTATACAGGTTAGTGTTGATGAGCAAGTGGGCATGTAATATGAAACAATTGAATATTGGCTTTATTTCAACGAACTAGTCTACAATAGAAGTCTTTTAGAGTTATCCATGTTAATCAAATCTATTAATTATGTGTGGGATTATTTACAATCATGTAATTTCTAATAATCATTAAATAAGAATTATTATAATTAGTAAGATTTTAAATTTTGTCATTGGACAAGGAATCAAAGTACTGAATTACGTAATAGCATTTGTTTCAATTCATTTCTTTATTTTTTAATTTAGGCTTTGCATTTGGTTTCTACAGTACTACATACATGACGTGCATTGGTTGGTATTATAGAATGAATAAAAATTATATTTGAACTGAATATTTACTCAATATGGAACAGCTAACTGTGATTAATATACTTCACAAGATTAATAAAATATGAAAACCCTTACCCTCTAGGTAATACCAAGCTGTTTGCGAACCCAGATGAATTTATTGGCATAGCGGGTATCATTTTAGGGATAGGAGAAATTATTGGTAAGAGAAATTGCTCGTGTGATTTGTAGCTTTTCATACCTAGTGTTTTTCTTTATACTGTTAACGTGTGTATGCAAGATACTTATTATACGTGTGTACAATTATCCCTGTTATAACTTATGCATATTTAGGCAATGTAATTATAAGAGTAGAAATACTGGTTGATGGTTTTTCTAAACGTAATGGAATACCTTAGTCACACTGTGATCATTGTATTGAGAATATATATTTATATGTTATTCACAGGTGGGAGTCTGTTTGGTATCGCTGGAGAGAAGAAGCTATGTGGGCGCATCTCCATAATATGCATTGGTCTCCTTTTTCATCTTTTTTCATATGCATTTATATACTTTAATGTGCCCTTTAAATCACCGTTCATGGAAACTTATGAAAATGCATTCTGGGGAAAACCTAGGTATACTTGAATTATAATTATCGTTAGTTAATCTTTACTTCTTTTGCTATACACTTTTTTAAGTCCTGTAATCTTGATCTCATTAAATACGGTATTTATTAACCCTGACATCTGTCTATTTTTCTTTTCCTTTGACTAAATTGCGTAGTTTTTTAATGGCTGCTACCTGTGCCTTCTTTTTGGGATTAGGTGATAGCTGTTTTTATTCTCAGGTAAAGTACGATGGTAAAATACTCGTACTACATTGCCGATACAGTGCAAGATTTTCGATTTGTGATTAATTCCGTATATTAGTTTACATATACTGTATGCCAGTATACACGCATATCTAATCTCTTTGCCTGATATACCCTTCTATGAAGTTCTACTTAAGATTTTTACTACTGCTATTGCATTTAGATCTATTCCATTCTTGGAGAAATTTTTGAATCGAATAGCCCACTAGTGTTTGAAGTCTTTACCTTCATACAATCGTTATCAATAGCTGGATTCTTTTTATTGAGCCTATCAACAACTTTACATCTTCTGACGATAATTATTGTAAGTATCTTAATCTCTGTTTTTAATTACTATACATATTTTCAAGCTATATTCTATTACTTATTGGATCCAGTTTGCCTTTCTTGATGTGATTACTTATAACTGATATTAAAAAATATTCTAGGCTGCTGTAGGTGTCGTCGGTGTTATAACATTCTTCATCGCTGAGTATCAAATACGTTCTGCAGCAAAACGAGAATTATAAAGGGCATAATTATAATCGATTTTGATCATATGCTATTTAAATGTCTCTAAAAGATCACTATAAATTTATTTATATTTCATCTATTTGTCTAATTGATTTTTGCAAATTTTATAAAAAATGGTATTCTAATTTTGAGCTCTGAAACTGCAATAATGCTATTATTGTACTGTACTTTTTATTCTTTTAAAGCTACTTTAACTTTTACATCTTTGCTATATGGAATTGTGTCACTGCTTGTATATTGCTAATTTGTAGAATGAATACTTAATATGATGTTAAGTGGATAAAGCTATGGTATGTATAAAATGTTGTTTAATTAATCATGTCTATACAGTAGGGTAATGATACTCTCTAGATAAACAGAAAGATAGATAACCCAAACTCACGCACGTAGAGGTAAAAGAGAAAAACAGGTGCTTTTTCCTCTGTGCTGATGCATTATAGATATTTTGAAGAATAATAATTTAATATGGTAATCACCACAGATTGCAATATTGTATAAAGCCTTTATTAAAACAGATCTGGATACTATATTTCATTACAGTTCAATAAACTTTCACTGATACCACTATGTCGAAATATCCAGCGTGATTAAATAGGTAGAGTTGAAGTTGAATCAGAAGATGCGTTTAGAACATATTTTTATTATTGCATACTCTCTACCTATTTTCGTGCTCAGTATGCATTATAGCAATGATTTCACTGCTAACGTAGATGGATGGTACAGTAAGTATAGCATATCGATGAAATTTGTAATACGTGCGTACAGTCGATGAGGATTAATTAATAAGATTACTTTAATTGAACTGATTATACTGTGCATCCATCATTGGCAGCAGTCTCAGCAATAGAGAGCTCTACTTGTTGCTCTGACAGCAAGGGCCCTATCGAACTTGAGTTCGTGCATGCGCATTCTTACTATAATTCTAGTCAATCCGTCATTTTTCATGAAAGAGTGTACAATTTTGAAAGTTTTCGACGATTACTATTAAGATTAAGATTTACAATATCTTATGATGGTGATAAATAGTGGATGAATATTGCTATTACCATAATTGTATTTTCTTTTAATGGTATGCTAGACTGTCATTATTCAGTATAGCATTACTGTCATCCTATTGAAATGGATGGAGCTAGTGAGGCGGAATTGTCACTGTTAATATTGCAAGCTAAGATGATGATAAGAAAATTGGAAGCCGTTGCGTAAATAGACACGATGAGCGTCATGGCGTGTGTATCCAGTATCGAGGTGAAGCATGGCATAGCCTTGGTGTTTGGCTAATTTGTTTACATGTTGAAGTAGTGTACTGCCATAGCCTTTCTGACGATGAACAGAACGCGTTGATAAATCATCAATATAAATACATTTTCCCCATGCAAGAGTGGTCATATCACGATAACCAATGACCGCAGCGGCTGCATTGGGATCGTCTTGATCGAAAATGGCACCTATGGTATAGCCTTCTTTCTGTTGTTGGATAACTTGATTAACAAATGATTCTGCATCTACTAAGTGTGGTCGAAGTTCTTTATAAGCATCAAAGCATTTGATGATATCTTGAGGTTCTTTGATAGCAACAACTTCCATGTTGATGTTGCACCTGATGGAGTGCCAGTGCAGTCGAGGCCTACTGTAGGGAAAGTGGCGAGGTGGTGACAGTACAGTACAGTACAGTACTGTACTGTAGCAAGACTGTACAGTAGGCCCAGCCATAATAACCCCGATTCCTCAGATACTCAGCGTAAATAGCTTAAACGATGATACATTATTCTAGGAGTCTGCACCTTAAATTTCATGCGATTATTCAAAGAGTAATATAGTAGAGTAGAGTACTGTACTACTAGTATGTAATGCGTTTTCTTGGATATGTTTGAATAGTAAAACGCTTCAAAAAGATCAATAGGTAGGTCTCTGATTGTCATTATAGAAGGTTACCTGCTAAGTCAAGAGCAATCCGTACATATTCAAACTGTGCATTGGCAATCCCTTTGTACAAATTGCAGCAAAAATTGTCAAATCGAATGTACAGTATGGGATCACGTCGTACTTTATAGTACTGTCTAGTACAGTACAGGGTATAGAAATTTTTAATGCAGATTTTAAAAAACAAATCATACGATCTAAACTGGATAACACCTATAAAATTTTAATTTTATTTTACGCGTTTTCTCAAGAGTAAGCCATAAGAATATGCACTGATTGACAGTACTGTGTGAAAGAAATTCTACACACTGTAGACTGTAGACTGTACAGTACTGTACACTCAGGGACTACAGCCAATCGGCGTCCAGAACAACTCAAAGGAAAGCGCGAGTTGGATTGCTCCATTGATGGACAATGGACAGTTGGACATATGGGACAGGTTGTGCCATCATGACATTGATTGAAAGTGATTTGAAACACGACAGTAGACGGACAGATGGATGCAATCGAGGCAAAACTGGATAACACATGGTGTACAGTATACAGTTTTTGACGGGTTTTCCAATGAAATACTGTACAGTAAGCCATCAAAATATGCAGTGATTCATCAGAAAGAAATTCTACACACTGTACAGTGTACTGTATACTCAGGGCGTCCAGAACAACTCAAAGGAAACCGCGAGTTAGATTGCGACATTGATGGACAATGGACACATACTAAGACAGGTTGTCCCATCATGACATTGATTGAACACGACAGTATACGGACAGATGGATGCAATCGAGGCAAAACTGGATAACCTATACAGTACACAGTTTTTGACGGGTTTTCCAATAAAATGCTGTACAGTAAGCCATCAAAATATGCAGTGATTCATCTGAAAGCAATTCTACACACTGTACAGTGTACTGTATACTCAGGGCGTCCAGAACAACTCAAAGGAAACCGCGAGTTAGATTGCGACATTGATGGACAATGGACACATACTAAGACAGGTTGTCCCATCATGACATTGATTGAACACGACAGTATACGGACAGATGGATGCAATCGAGGCAAAACTGGATAACCTATACAGTACACAGTTTTTGACGGGTTTTCCAATAAAATACTGTACAGTAAGCCATCAAAATATGCAGTGATTCATCTGAAAGCAATTCTACACACTGTACAGTGTACTGTATACTCAGGGCGTCCAGAACAACTCAAAGGAAACCGCGAGTTAGATTGCGACATTGATGGACAATGGACACATACTAAGACAGGTTGTCCCATCATGACATTGATTGAACACGACAGTATACGGACAGATGGATGCAATCGAGGCAAAACTGGATAACCTATACAGTACACAGTTTTTGACGGGTTTTCCAATAAAATGCTGTACAGTAAGCCATCAAAATATGCAGTGATTCATCTGAAAGCAATTCTACACACTGTACAGTGTACTGTATACTCAGGGCGTCCAGAACAACTCAAAGGAAACCGCGAGTTAGATTGCGACATTGATGGACAATGGACACATACTAAGACAGGTTGTCCCATCATGACATTGATTGAACACGACAGTATACGGACAGATGGATGCAATCGAGGCAAAACTGGATAACCTATACAGTACACAGTTTTTGACGGGTTTTCCAATAAAATACTGTACAGTAAGCCATCAAAATATGCAGTGATTCATCTGAAAGCAATTCTACACACTGTACAGCGTACTGTATTGTACACTCAAGGACTACAGCTAGACCTGACTACAGCTAATCGGCGTCCAGAACAACTCGAAGGAAACTCCGAGTTGGATTGGCACATGGATGGACGGACAATGGACACATGGGACAGGTTATCCCATCATGACATTGTTGAAAGACGATAGTGTACGTACAGACGGACACCATCGAGGTCCAAAAAATGAGTTGATAGTAGGGGAATACAACTGTATTCATGAAAGGAAAGGAATGACAGTACAGTAGTATGAATTTACAGTCGCCTCTCCGTCCATCGTTTCATTCAGATTCGTCATTATTTCATACAGTATTCTATATTGTATGTCTACTTACTGTATCTAGTCTGCTGATTTTACTGTTTGTAATCTTCGGACCGACAGTACTCCTGGACAGTGGTACTGTACCTGTGTCCAGAACAGTACTGTAGCCAGGAAAGAAAAGGAGACAATGAAAAGTACTGTAGACCGCGTGAATGCTTGGGCACTGTAGAAAGGCCACGTGATCCATCCATCCACTGTACAAAGGAGCTGTCCAACTCGCCTTCACGTGATACATCCAACATCCATCGCGACGAATCCGCTGATCAACATGTCGTCAGTTCCAACAGCTGAGAGCAGAATTTCAGTTATCCCTGGGCTCGATGGAGACTTACCCAGTGAACGAGCATCCCTTCCCGATTCGTTAACGACTAAAAAGATTGTATCTGTCATCAATTCCTCTTCTAATCTTGAAGAAGGGAGCGATAACGTAGATCAAATCAATCAAGAAGAATCATCTCAAATGGGGGCACAATCGGACAATGCGGTAAGCAACGCCAACACTCCATCACTATTGTGTTTGATGGAATAGTTGACAATCTAGCCTAAAGCTACACCAATCAGTAGAATAAAGTTCAAGCATCATCGTCATCATTGCTCAATAACATCATTGACCTCTATCTTTATCCAACGCTACAATTATTCATTAATCAATCATATCATGGTAGGTTAATCAACTTTATTTCCATGCTAAATCTTCATCATCACCATGATGGAGACAAGTAATCTTTACTCTACAGTTCAACATCAGAATCAACTTCAAGTATCATCGTCATCACTGCACAATAACATCATTGACATGTCTCTCTATTCCAACAGTACAATTATTAATTAATCAATATCATGGTAGGCTAATCAACTTGATTTCAATGCTAAATCTCCATCATTGTCATGATGGAGACAAGTAATCTTTACTTAACATTTCAACATCATTCTCCTTCTCCATTGGTTGATGATGCTACCACTTCAAGATCCCATCAACACGATGGCAAAATCATTCAATCACATTATCCCTAGTAAAACCATGTTCAACATTGGATGCTACCATCATCATCATTTTATTCTTTTCAGTACAGCTAAATAGAAAATACCCCACCATGATCAATCGTATCATGGACTATATTGTCCTCTTTGCAAGGCTAAAATCAATATTATACCCATCACAGTACTGTCTATTCACCAATCGATCTTGCATCACATATCCGGTAGCACAAAAACGATCAACGTGTCGTAATCACCTTGAGATAATTTCCCTGCTGTAATCGATTTGATAGACGTTAGCGCTGGATCACATTGACTCAGATGGTAAAAAAAAAAAAGACACATCGTTCAAAGAGGAGATCAAGAGTAACCCATAACGATATCCTTTAACTTTGTATGTTTTCATTAAAATCAAGACGAGGTACATCTTCCCATCTACTCTATGAAAATACGGAATGCATGCACGTAGTAGAATCGAGATCAATGAGTCTATGCGATCATCAGATGATTTGGATAGGATAGGAGAAAAGAGAGACATAAACCCTCTAACCTAGCACATTTTACTTAAGTAAACGTCATTCCGATCACATTTATTCAATGACAACGTCGACTAGTAAGGCAGGGATCAACCAATTCTATATAGTATAGCCATATTGAGATGATTTTAGTATGACATTACACTAATTGAAGAATATGTAGATCCAGCGAGACAAGGAGATCAACCCTCTTACCTTATACTTTTATGATAATAACGTTATGGAAGAAATTTTGTCCACCACTTCCATAATGAGCTTAAAGTCTTTATAACTCAGTTGATGAGCATTTTACTCCTACACAACATACGACTTGATCGACCTGCAGTTAGAACAAGAGTTCTAGTGGATAACATTAACCCTTGAAACTTGACATTCTTGCTTTTCTAGACTACTAGTTTAAATATAATAATTCTACAACATTTCTTGAATCTCTCATGTAGTTTCATGATCAGTTTATGAGACATCAAGTACATCTATCTTTCCAGAAAGTCAATCTCATTTTTAGATGCATGGAATAATGCCATATCTGAAATTGAAATTTGAACTACTTGTACTTATTCAATCTATTCGATTACATCTACATACACGTATACTTCTTATTGCTACTTACTAGAAGACGCGAGATATGATGTAGTGGTAGACTACTACCGGAATAAGAATACTCCCCCAAAATGACACAGCGTTATCGTGGTAGATAATACTGACTGGTCAATGTAGAATTGCATTGGGACGGGAGATTTATAGAGTAGTCAGTTTTACAATAATTAGCAAGATGTATAGTCTGTTCAATCCCATTTTCTGTATGTGTAGAGGATTTATACCCTCATTGAATATAAGCTGCCGATAAAATTGCGATATTCTTTATACTAATACTCTGATAACGCCTTAAACTGGGGTGTAATTTATAGTTAGCGATACTTCTACTAGATAGAATACAGTTTTGATTGAAAGTATAGATCATCGTAAATTTCGAACAAACTATAGTACCTGGTAATAAAGAGAAGAGAGGTTTTCCTTGGTGAAATGCTCATCTTTGACTGTAATCAACGCCAAAATATCCATCCTTTTAACTGAACACTTGCAGATACTGCAGTGTGATATAACATAAAGTGACAATGTAACAGATCATCGAATCCTTTATCAATTAGCCGTGGTGTTATAGGTAAAATCAACAAAACTGTAATTGGGTTTATAATGTCTTCCTTAAATGGAATAATACTTGTTTTATCATATTTCTGTCGAAAATATGATGATAAAGTAAGCTTTGAGGCGATAGAGGGTTAGATAGATACGAATACACACTGTACAATGTAACGACCGGCAAAATATGTAGATGGTGTAACTAATGGATTTCATAACACGATGTACTGCAATGAAACACAGTTTTTATCAATTTCCCTTCGTAACGAATAAAGGGATCAAAATTTTCATGGCATACGGGTACATCTAACTAAAAAATAGATCAAGTTGTCTTTAATTGGAAGTGATGGCTACGTTTCACTGTGCCTATGGACACGATGGTGCCTGTAAAGGATATTGAATTACTATGTTTATTTCCATTCAATTATTTCAACATCACAAAGTTAGAATTATGGCACTTACTGCTACATGCTAGTTAACTTTTATGTCAATACGAAAGTCATAATTAATAAGATATTATAACAACAGTATCATAACAAGATTTTTTTCTGTTCTAATTTCGATTAATTTTTGATTGTAATCCGCAATTCTTACAGTAATGTCTTATTTGATTTCTTCGTACAATTATACCAATTCATGAATAGAAATCACCAACAGAGACAAACTGGAATCACAGCCATCAAGAACCTCACAATGATCAGGCTGGATACACGTATCAAGAGCAGCAATGGGATAAGCCCCATGATTCTTATCAATCACAAGCACCCAAACAAGGAAAATGGCCAGCAAAGGATGATGATGCCTCGAATCACAGAAGGTTACATGTTAGCAATATTCCATTTCGATATCGTGATGGAGATTTACGAAATATGTTTGAGGTTAGTTGGATATTTTCGTAGTGTAGCAAGCATTAACTATTATCTCAGTGCATTAGCGATAATTTAGCAGAACTACACAATTTTGCGTCTAAACTAGTTCCTCTAGAATTGACGCAATGATAACATGAATTGAGTTTAATCTTGCAACTACTGATCGATTTAATCTAAACTAAATTATTTACAAAGTGATAGTGCAGGAGTCACCTTAGTCTTTTAAATTAGCAGTGGTCACAAAAGTCTAGAACTGACGTAATGATAATACAGGAGTCATGTTATCATCTAATTAGCAATTGATACAAAATTAATGCAATATCTAGTTAAAAGAAACTGATGGCTCATGGAATAATTTTTAAAGATAATCAGACTATACTGTAATGGTAATTATTGATGCATTTACACTTTCAGCGATTTGGTAACATTGAAGACGTAGAAATTATTTTTAATGAAAGAGGATCGAAAGTGAGTAAAGGCACAATGAATGGATAGGATGTTATCTTCACGGATAGTATTTTATGGAACTTTAGTGCACTATTTTGCTATTCTAGATTTAAGGGAGCGACATTTGATAGAATTGTAGTTTGAGCGTAGTCCGGTGTATAGAACAGTATAACTATTCATTTAAAATGTGAAAATCTACCTCCAAATCGTTCATACCCATGTAGCTGCTTAACCGTATCATAATTCTTTGTTAGAACTTAATTATTGATTTACTCAAAGCTAGCTTGAGGTAGCCTCCAGCGATAATGGTTGTTAGCATTATAAGTAATGACTGAATGTATTAATTAGCAAAGTGATTTATTGACTTTGCTTGTTCCCGTATAGGGATTTGGTTTTGTAACATTTATCAACCCGGAAGATGCTAAAGGTGCTAAAGAGGATATACACGGTAAATCCGTGGACGGCAGAATATTGGAGGTAAAGGCTTGAAGTGACGTAAATGGGGATACCTCAGTTAATTTATCATAAAAAGAAAAGTAGTATACTAACTTGTAAGATACTTTAGATATATACTGTAATGGCGATATCATAATATTAGCTTGTTGGTTACGCTTTACTTAGTTATGAAATTGAATACATTTACAGGTAAATTATGCGACTCCTAAAGCTTTCAATGCACCGCGTGGACGTGGAGGTAGTCAAGTTTTAAATATATTTTATTTATGCTACATGACTTCTATGAATGAGATAATTTCTAAATTACACCCTGAATTATCAAAGATTGTGCGTTACTAAAATGAACGCTTTAATTTTGCCATTTACAGGCAGAGGTGGTGGTAGACGTTGGACAGGAGGACGCGGTGGCTACGATTCCTACAGAGAGCAGCATGGTCGTGCGCCACCCTCATACAATTCAAATGTGAGACAAGTGAATGCAAATATTATTTTAAACTTTTTCTTAATTATATTCATAAATCGTATGAATTGTTGCTGTAGATGATGCCACCTTATGAACAACCATACCCATCTCATATGTACGAATATAATCCCCATTATCAGTCTTACGGGTAAGTAGATGTCTGGTCACAGTGCAGTTGCTACATTGTAAATATTTAGATCGCAGGAATCGTAAAATTTTTTACAGTTATTGCACTTGCTCCAATTTGATTTACAAATATTTTTATTTTATCCCTAAATTTCTAATTTAGATATGGTCGGGATGTTAATGATTACGGAGATTTTAGAGGACATAGGCCCGGGGCCTCTGATCAACATTATTATGAAAATTATGGAGATCATTATAATCCATCATCATACCATCATGTAAGATTTTTATCAATAATTGATTTCAATTCCTAAATTGTAGTTGCTTGGAGACTTACAATCAGCTTAATTTTTAGGGTGCTAATTACAGGAATAATAATTCATCTTCGGGTTACCGCTATGCACCCTATTAATACAGTCTTACACAGCCACCAATTTGGATTTTTTCTGGACATGTATTATGACGCGATCATGGAGCAATCTTATATAGTACCAATCGCTAATTTTTGAATTTAACTACAATTCCCAAGGAACATTTGTAGCTTTAGCATCATTGAGAGTAAATTGCAGTCGTTATGAAGTGGATGTATATAAAAATCATGTACAATTTGATCCCTGTGGATTTTATCGAAAATTTGAGTTTAAGTAATTAATCATTATGCACAGTGAGCCCAGCTGTATAATCATTCAAAGAAACACCTAAATATTAATAATTGGCACTTATAACTATGGGCAGAATCATCATTATTATAAAATGTATTGTGACCCTAATCCATTCAATAACTAAAAATGATGATCTTTTGTATCGTATCCATCTCAGCTTACTGTAGTTTATAAATCAGATTGACGTTTTATTTATATATGTAAGATTTTCCTCTTAACTATAGACTTTTGATCAAATACTTTTACGTATAAATCAATCATATAGTACTTTTAAGTGCTATATAGCGCTTCACTGTTTTGTCAGTGCAGTATTATTTACTTCATTTCTTATTAAGGTTTAGCTAGACATCAATACCAAATTCATGTTTTGTGGTCTATAACATGCAACTGCCTTGTTTTACCCTTGTTAAATACAGTAATTACTTTTCAGCGTGTGATATTAGATTATTTGTACTGTATTCTTATCAATGTATATAACATCTTCATTGTAATAAAGAATTTCAATCATTAGAGCTTGATGTAATAGTCTGACGTTATTGTTTATGATTTTTCTTTGCGTACGAATGGCAACGGTAGTGTACTGTATGTATATAGTACAGTGTATATGAAACATACTGCAATCAAAAGCACCTTAAGAACTTATTTAAGTCAGTATTGTCAATATTGTGATGCTAGCAAATGATTTCATTTTGTCAGAATCTAAATTATATTCTTTGAAATTATGATAATTATGGGATACATTGGTGGCAAAATGTCTTTCAAAAATTTTGCTAAAGTACTCGTTTCATCGTATGGCTAGAAATACAGCTACATTCTTTATTAATTTCAGGAAGTAAGCACAGATAATGAATCACACTATAATACATATATATATACTCGTATATACTGTACGTTAAGAAGACAGTACAGTACATTGATCTACAGTCAAAAAATTTGAAACAATATGATCAGTACAGTTAATAACTATCACATTATATTTGATACAAGATGCAAGTATATCATTCATTTTGATTACGGTACCATTGTACAAATGTACATCGTAGGTATATGCCTTCTAAAGCCTATTTCGAATTAATGACTCTTAGCCTTTAGTTAATAAAAATATGCACTTATGTAAATAATACCGATCAAAAAATTTCTTGTTTCGAGCAGGGTTAATTTACATTGACATTTTCTGATATCGGCAAACTTATTTATAACTTTAGCAATGATATAAGGAGCAAATGTCTGGTCGATCTATTTCTCAGTAACATTGAATAAAGTATAGTCAACTTAAAAGTGTACCGATAAAAGTAAGGCATCTTTCCCTCCATACGAGAGCATTTACGTAAATTATATTCATAGATATGTTCGGGATGCTAACGAGAGACACTATCATTCAGACGTTGCTAGACAACACTCAAAGCCATACGTCTAATCTATAAATACATAAATACAATTAAGCTTCTCCAATTTTAAATATTAGTGTCGCCATGTCGCTACGATAGAAATAAATAATATTCGGCTTACAGTACAGTACGCACATCATATTAGTATGTAAGCTACAGTAGGACTAATAAATAAGCGTAACTACTTTAGCCGTTGTTAGATTTAGACCGACGACGGAAGAAATTCAAATATAGTAGATGACAGAATATCGTAAGGGTAACGTAATTAAAGTTCGCACTTTATCTGGAGAAACTCAGATATTTTCTCAGCGATTTTATAATGTTTGCTGCAGAAGAAAGTCAAAATAAAAATCATTCAATCGATTCATTCTATAATTAATCAGTAATTAAATAGCATGACTAAGCTGTAATATTTCATTACCTGCAATCTCCAAATGTACTGTTATTGGTTAAAGGCAAGCTATATCCCGGGCTGAAATGTAACATTACCTGAAAAAAAATATAGGAAACTGTATCAAAAAGTCAAGACTATAAAATTTCTTGTAATAGTGGTAAAAGTATTGTCTCGTAGCCATTTTGATAACTAGTTCAATCTATATAGAGCACATTTATATAAAGCTAATATAGTAATCGGATCTAGTAGATACAGCAGAATCATAATAACAGAACAGCATAAAAGATATACGGTAATAAGATTTTTTAAATGATTAATTACTCACTTGATGGCTCATTCCAAAGTATCGCACATTATCGTGTTCGACTGTAACTTCTTGAATTTCACTTATATTTGCAATAACTATACATGTACATAAAGAGATTGATATTAAATATAGCCTTCTATATATCTACACGTTACCATTTCCACGGTTAAGGCTCCTTATATTACAACATCGCAATGGCGATCAAATCCAACACTAATTACTATATCCTAACAAGAGTACTCATAATAAGAGTAACTTCACAAATAGCCAAAGAACGTACTACGAATGTACTAATACGTTTTAGTGTATATAGACTAATAATCTAAATGAAGTATTATATAAAGACAAAGAACTACTAAGTAGACAGTATCAAAGCTGATTACTCTTAGATACTTTGTTAAACTTAATACATTGTTTCTAAGTGTACTTAAATATTTTAGCTAATCTATTAGACTATATCATAGATAATGTACATCATAAGAATTATCAAGTATGTTCCTTCATAAAACCGACAAACACACAAAAGATCAATATTATGGAATTTTCAGAATATAAATCTAGTCCATATAGATTTTATATGAATTTATGACACCGATATAAGGCAATACTTACTATATCGAGCATACGGTAAATTAAATAATCTTTGCATTAGGCTTTGGCTCTTTAACGTGATAGTTCCACATCCATGTTTATCAAAAACGCATTGCTATTGAATATACGCGCATAATTGATAAAAATAAGAAAAAGAGTTTTAATTAGGCCAAATATAAAACATGATTTTGAATTCGTTTTGACAAGATTTATTAAGAACCTCAAGTAACACAACCAAATACTATTGTAGTATCTACCGTACATACGTAATGACCAGTATACAATTTTCTAACTCAATTGATTTTGTGCCAAGCTAAGTCTATGTCACTATAATATCAGGCTATCCACTAGAATTTTGGTACAGTGTAAAGTACATTTCGACATTACAACGAACGTTACGAAAATAAAAAGTTGTTAGATAAGGATAACGGTACTACATTTTCAAAAGAGTTTGTCTCCTATCCCTTTAAATCATACTTGAGTACATTCGTTATTCTTTTTACTTATTTATAGCGTAAGTATGCTGTTCTTACCTCCCAATAGTCTAAGTACATTAGTGCAATTATCACAAAAGTAATCGTATAGGTTAATTTCAAGTATGATCCATCTAGCATTGAGATAGAGTAAATAGAAAATTAGTCCAGTAGGTTAAATAATACGATTTAATCATGATACAGCTACATGGAATCGATAAAGAAGCGATTCCAATGCTAGTAATGAAACAGAAAAATTGATAATATCTAACGGAGCTATTATTATGGACTAACCTGAGCTGTAGTAACTGATGAATAATCCAAATAGTGCGATAACTGTGAAATATTAAGAATAATTAGTAAGGCATTCAACCTGTTATGTAGTAGATAGAGTTTTACAAAAGGATCACGCTACTTGACAACCCGCCCGAGAACTAACAAGCATCAAAATTTTCCTATTTGCGGAACTCTGGTAGTTGATATCATATATAGCCCATTCTACAATACTGCAGACAAGCCTTACGGTGGACTGTAATTGCAAGGCGCAAGCAATATATATGGTGTGTTTTACTTTCAACTGATTCTTCTAATATCCACCTATGTTGTCATTGACGTTCTATTTCGTGTACTGTAAGTGTGCGTTGCTATTTTTACACAGCATTTGCAAACTGCATTAGTTAGGCAGAAGATAGAATGATGTTTTCCCATTTTACTGATGTGATATAACTGATTGACCTTTAAGACAGTTTCTAATATAAAGTGATAAGCAATATCGGAGAGGAAATATGCAAACGTTTATTCATGATAAAATTAACTAAATACGAAAGCTAAAAGAGAGAATGAAATTTTCCATCTTACTGGTGTAACATGATGTCGGTAAGCATTTACGATCAATTCTGCAGTGTACAGGTACTATAGAAGAGGAGATGTGCTGACTTTTGTTAGCATAAAATTACATGATAGCTTGAGATAGAATGATATTTATCCTATTTTACTGGCATACTATACAGTCTATACTGTCGATCAATCTTAGAACAATTGCTAAGTATACGTGTAAAAATAACATACAGTACTGTATTGTAGAAGAAGAATAGGGGAAGACATATTGATTATATACGTATCGCCATTTTGCATTTCCACATTAGCAGAACCATTCTAGACTATTCTATACTTACAGAATGATACCATCCATGATCTCGTGCTTGGATAACGCGATAATATTAATGTTTCTTTGCTTTCGGTATCGATTCTAAGGTACATTATCGCGTAATAATTTTTAACCTAGAATGAATCAATCATCAACCTTTACGTCAGTCAAAATTAAGAGGATCTCTACAATTGCTTGCCATATATTGTAGTCAATCTTTATTTATTCTCAATCGATACAGTCATCAAGCCTATAATAAAGTTATTGATAGCATATAGCTTGCATAGGAAACAGTAATAGTTATACTTCAATCCTGGGTATGATTAACTTGGCGAAGATTACATAACATTACGTCGTTGATATAATTAATTATACATGATAAGCGTATACCTTTGTTCTTCCAAGACTTGCACTGCTGCTCGTTGAGGTTAATTAGTATTCATCTTCGGGCAATAATCTACAATGAAATCACCACAATCAAATCATAAACATGGACAGTATTGCAATGACATAAAGTTGATGATTATAGAAACTGACTTTTGTCATTATTTGCAGTAGTAATTGCTTGAGCTTTAACAGAATTTAATCCTAAGCAGTAGACATCATTAGCAATGGCGTATTCTAATGAGATTGCAATATTTTGATATCCGTATGTCCTACGGTCTGTAGTATACCCACCGTGCAAATAATTGGTCACCCTATTTTGGGGATTTTATACACTTTTTGTTTAAATTTGATGATATAAATTTTGCACGCTGCTCGTAGTCTTGAAAGGACTGTTAACACGAGTATGAATGCATGGTTAATAGTGTCAAAATTTCCACCTACTGTACTGTCTATGAAAGCCATTTCCAATCCTGCATGCTGACATACCTAAATATACTGAAGTTGATGGTTATGGGACCTGATTTTGTCGTTATTTGTAGCAGTAATTTTTTGAACTTGGAGAGATGTTCATCTACACCATGGTAAGTGAAAATGATGTCACCTTCTTTCTGGCTATCGAATAAGAACGAAACTCAGTTGTGTGACAGCTCATTTTGCACACAACGAACTGCATACGTTGTACAGTAACGCTACTAGGACAAGAGCACCACTTCATAGTAAAGCTTATCAAAATTTCTGCTTGCGGATACAGTCTCTGGCGGTCCCTTCAGTCTGCGACTTCGAAAATGTGAAAAGTCTCTGCTACAGCCCTAGCCTCTAGGGCTTTTTTTTATGTTTGAGAGAAGTACATATGATATTTTTGAATACATGCATCTCGCACACTACTTACTGCACAGTAGCACTACTATAGCAAGTGTATTACTTCATCGTAGAAGCTCCAAAAACCCCTATACTGTATATAGATCGCTCAAGTTTATGGCGGCCACTTTCAACTTTTGATGTAACAGACAGAAAGACAATCTGTACTGTACTTATAGTCTATTGGCCTACTAAGGTAAGCGTACGCGTTGATAGTAAAGCGTATTCAATTTCTACGTCAATGCAGTCACTTTCAATTCTGTTCCTGTTCAAAGGTTCTGCAGACGTACAGTAAAATCGAGATCAGTCTGTTGCTGCCTTCTCATCAAGGATTGGAAACTATGGCATAGGTTATCCATCGACTTAGCCATTACTGCGAATTCAACTTCTATCTAATGCCAAAATTTATAACAAGTTTGTATTCAGTTCTATCAGCATTCAAGTTGAATAACGTGACCAGAAGATACTGTAATATTGAATCCTTAGCATAGAAAATATTGGATAAAAATGTCGCTTAGCCAAAGTCAATCGAGTGGAATGAAATTTTGGAGAGAAGCTCTACAGCAAGCTAAATATGTAGTGGCACCTATGGTGGATCAATCGGAATTGGTAAGATAGATGACTGATAGTGTGTGCTGAACAAGCTGTCAAACATGCATTATTCGTTTGTGCTGATTATATTGTTGTCCACTGAATTGCATGTATAACCATGATAAAATAGGCATGATCAATAACTTTATTGCAGAGTTTTAACTAAGTGACATGTTGTGATGAATTAGGCCTGGCGCTTATTGTGTCGTCGTTATGGAGCGCAATTATGCTATACTCCAATGCTACACTCTGCAGTGTTTATTCGTGATGCGACCTATAGGAGAGAAAACTTTAAGACTTGTCCGGAAGATCGACCATTAATTGTACAGGTTGATGATATATCCAATACGTAAACGACGATAGACGATACCGTTAAATAGGATAGTAGAAGTTAAATGACCGTGATAATCATCAATTTTAACGTACTACTGTGCTACCTACATGCCATACGTGTGTAACTTACTTACGTTTAATAAGCTAGAAACTGTAATGTTGTATTTTACTAGCCATTCTTACTGTGGTGTATGTAGATCACTTGCATAATACAACGGACGGTAGAGTGCGCTATCAATAAAGACCTACCATATCTAAAATCAAACACTTAGAATAATATCTTTCATTGCAGTTTTGCGGTAACGATCCAGATACCTTACTAAAAGCGGCTAAAATTGTAGAGCCACATTGTGACGCAGTCGATTTAAATCTTGGATGCCCGCAAGCTATTGCAAAGCGAGGTATAATAATATAAAATAAATTCTTGCAATTAGCAATAACCTATCAGCAGATAACTCTTTTCGACCATATCGTATACGGGTAGGTCATTATGGTGCCTTCTTACAGGATGATTGGAAATTGTTGGAAAAAATTGGTAAGAATCGCTGTAATGACGAATACTAAACAATTTTCGAGAAAGTGAATAACTAACCGAGCTGTGAAACATCGTGTCAGTTTATACATGTAGACTATGTTAATAATATCATCTATCTGTTACCTTTGTTATTTTAGTATCTCATCTTCATCAGAATTTGAAAATTCCTGTGACATGTAAAATTCGGATTTTTAATGACTTGGACAAGACAGTCAAATACGCTCAATTGCTAGAAAAAGCCGGGTGTCAGGTAATTATACTAGGATAGAAACTTGGTAAATGTTTTTTAGTAGGACAAACGTTACAAAATGGGACTTTTTCAAGTTGAGATGAACGAATAATATCTCTTTAAAATTTTATGGTAAAAATACTAGTTTGATTCGTGATTGTTTATGTCAACGTTCGTCTAGTTACTCACTGTCCATGGAAGAACTAGAGAACAGAAAAAGGAATTAACTGGATTAGCTGATTGGAACTTTATTAAAGTTATAAAGTAAATGAAATGCTACGCAAGCTTAAAAATACACCTAGATATTAACATCAAAAAACGTATTTTTGCAACATTTGCATATCACTTTTCATGTCACTGTACTAATTAATCTTGAACGCTATCTTATTTATTGCAGAGATAGCTTATCCATTCCGGTATTTGCTAACGGGAATATCCAGTATTTTGAAGATTTGGAGCGATGTTTTACCGCTACCGGTGTTGATGGCATTATGTCTGCTGGTATTTTAAAAATCAATACGATTGCAATATTCGGCCTACAAGATATTGTAACGCTTCTTATTGTATCCACTACAGAGGGTATACTAACCAATCCAGCCTTATTTTCCGGTAAACAAGTTTCCTGCTGGCAAGTTGCTGAAGAGTATCTCCAAATAGTACATCAATTTCCCTGTACTTTATCAAGTGTGAGAGGACATTTGTTTAAAATTTGGATACACGGGTTAGCATATTGAAATTACATACCCGTACGTTGCAAATTCGCTAGTCAAAAAAGAGCCGCAGTCATTTTTGGTAATAATATATGTATTCATAACTTTAACATACAAGTACTTTGTTTACAGTACTCAGCGCCATCTTGATCTCCGAAATAAACTTGCAACTGGAAAGTCTTTGGAAGCACTTGTAGCAGTCAATACAGAATTTAAGCAACGTACAATTGTACGTACTGTATAGATGGTAGTTCTCGGCTAAGACTCTGACGCCTTGACTAACTTACAAATTTGTTGCCTATGTGAAAGTTCATATCTTTTTTGACGTAGACTACAGTAATTCCTTGCTATCTAGTATTTACTGATTGAAAGCTAACAGTTTTATGCTCCATGTTAAGTACTGCACTCTTTAATTTTATAGGCTGAAGAGCAAACAGCAGTTGCTAACCAAGGTAAATTACCTTATTGGATTTGTCAACCATACATAAGACCAAGGTATTAGAGGATTTCTTTATTGCGCTCGGTTAGAAAATGTCTTTAATGATAGAAAAATGTGATTACTTATCAAGTTTATACCTTAATAATTATTCTCTGCCTCATACTATAATTCAGTCATTCATCCAAAAAATCATCCGAAAGGCAGGAAAGAGATGAGGAAGTTATTCGAAAAAATATAGAGGCATCGCGAAAAGCCAGAATCAAACGTAAAGGAAATAAAATTAAAAGCAATGGTTGCAAGAGGGAACGAACTGGTATCATAGTACACAATTTCATTTTACCAAACATCCGCATTATGCATTCACCCTTGCTTGTATTATCTTTAATGGATCCAATTAATTTTCCAGCTTCGTTACACCTTTGAAAATTTTCTGACATGGATGTCATTGTTATACTTGTATGCTTAGAATTTAAATACAAGCCATGTGCCAACTGCAGCAGCAATCCAAGTGGTACACGTTGTGAATATGGCATGTGTAGGAAATGTTGCAAGAGCAAGACATACAATGAAGTAGTCGATTGTAAAGGTATAGTGATATTCTACTATAGTTAACTTTCATTATGCAATTGCTTTGTTAGAAAGATCAACATCTGATTGTATATTTTATTTCATTCCTTAGGTCATGACTTTATATTTAAAACCAGACAACTTATCAAGGAAGGGAAATTACCGTCTTTTAAGCAGCTAAAAGAAGAGAAAAAATTGACTGAAAATAATTATGCAGCACATTACACTCAAGTAATAAGTTAGCTTGAGTTAAAAGACGATAGATAAATATCAACTTCAAATGTAGTAGTAGATATTCTCTGATACTCTTTCTAAAATCTGAAATAGGAGCCTAGATATCAGAACATTTTTTATTTTCTCTTAGAATTATTCGATTATACAGTCATATTATTTTGAAAAGTTTTAAGTGTTATGTTATTAGCACAAGACCTCATTTTTGTATTATATATACGATTGATATTTACTCTACGTGTTCCGGCTAGAATCAGGAGTAACGAGCTAGATTATGTAGTATGGCCGCTACATAGCTAGTCAATGGGTGATGAGAGTGCACAGTATACAGTATGTAGCCAGTGGTTTAAAACAATTGATTGATTGAAATATTCTTGAAAATATGTAATTTATTTATAAATTTTCAAATTTTATCAGATGCAGGTATGGTATGTCAGTAAAAATAAAGAAATTTATATTAACTGGAAAGTTTAATTATAATTTTTACCTTTACTCTGTCGTAAGTACTTAAATAAATTGGCCGTTTCTGGTCAACATTTCCATTAGTTATCGCAAGTCGAAAACTCATATAACTTCAGCAAGTTACGCGGTTCAACAACGATTGAAAGCAATGCAAATACTACAAGAATCTCTGATCACAACGTTACAGTTTATTTGTATTTTCACAACAATTAAATCGTTATTCACATAATCAAAACTGATTCTCACTTTACTCGAACACTATTTTTCCGATCATGATCATTACGCTGTACAGGTAATATACTCGACGTTACAACAAATCAGCTCAGTTGATAACGCTATTATTATAAAATATTTTATATATCCAGCGAAGGTTAGACACGCTCTGTTGTAAAATTATTTATTATGCAACTTAAACCTAAAGTAGAAGTGAATATAACCAATATTTGTATTAACAAAGGTTGAACTGTTGTTTTAGATCGATGGGAATGCCCTAGGGATGTATTAATTATTATTTTCGTTCTCTGCAGAGGATGTCTATAAAAAAGTATGAGTTGTATAAGAAATACGTACTCGAATTCTATTTATGACATATGGATTATTACCTTGACGACGATTTTATTTTTAAGTACGATAGATCGCAACATGAGGGCCTAAAATGTTAGTAAAAAAGATATATACTCGTCAATATGTTAACAAGGCAGTAAGTGAATTATATAACTCCGTGTAACAGAGATTTTAATTTAAGCGTTATTATTAAAACTACGATAGAGAAGCTATATGACCCATAATCTAATAATAACAATGGACTTGCAATGTCCTATAGAAATCGTGAATTTATATTACAATACTGTATTTTACCTTCATTCTTCTTTGATAATCCTTTCCTACCGATAAAGCTTTTTCGAAAGCTGATGTCCTATGATCGATATCGCGAGCATGTAAAACCTTAAAGGATCGTAAAATAAATTAATATATCCGAAAGAATTGTGTAATAGAAATTGAATTCGAAAATTATTTAACAGACTTTATTATGAGAATCGATCCGAGCATCTATAAATCCATCTAAAATGAGCGCTGTCAATTCGTTCTCTAAATCTGGAACAGTGGTATTAAAAGCGACAGCCATACGACGTAAGTCGGCCAGCACATATGGACTACAATACTGACATAGAAATACGAGTATTTATTGATCTCATGTACTTTAGTTAACGTGAACGATAAACTGGAATGAGTATAAAAATAAAAGTCCCTTATTAATAGTTTAGAAACCTGTTTAAGAGCTTTATTTCTAATCATGGTATATAATGTGTTAATGTGCGACGATAAGTAGATATCCAACAAGAGGCCATTCTAGAATAGATAATTTTTAAAAATTTTAATAAAAAACTGAAGCTGAAGTTGTGAAATAGGTACAGAGTGCTAACCTTCAATTTCTCTAGAGAGGATAAACAAGCCGCGTATTTAGCTTCGTAAAACTGGGAAATAATATCACGAAGCACAGGTTCTGCTTGCAGAAATAACTTAAAGGAGCTGTACACGAACGTAGAAACAGTAAATTGAACACATAGGAAATAGCTATTAACCAATTAATAAACAGTATGATAGTATACATAAAATGACGATAATGTACTAAGTACTATGTATACCACCTAAATCATGTAGCCGTTACAATTTATTTTGATTATACATTCAATACATTCGTTTTACCTGCTACAAATGACCTTCGAATGTAGCTCTTTTCTATCGAAAGAGACTAATGAGCAAATACCTCCATATATGGCTATATTGTTAGCGGTAAGTATCTATTAGAAGTATACAGAGCAAACAATTACGATTACTAAATTGACTGAAACTGTATCGTATTCCTAATAACCATATTACAAAATTTTTCACAATTAACCTCATTAAAACTACAGTCTTCATAGTTTGCTTCTAGAAAACGGCGTGCAGCTACTTGATATCGTTTTTGCGCAAGCTGAGCCAATCCTGTAAATACGTGCATATAGAATAATACAAATTTTAAATGCATGAAATGTTTATCACCTGTATTTTCTATAGCTTACCTGATGTACAGTTTAGGAATGTTTTAACATTTTTGTACTGATCAGTTTTACAAATCTGTGATAATAAGGATTCGAGATTAAATTTCATATTACACTTGCAGATATTAACATTGATGCCTGTGGGCTACAAAATCTGCTAGTCCGTATAATAAACTAAGCTACTTACGTCTTCTAGTTCGGGTATGGATTCAGCTTTACTAGCATAACTTAATACGTTAGTCCAACTTTTTTGCTGTATACTCGTCTACAAATAATTGATTATTACGATTGATCACTTTAAATGTTCTTTATTAAATATAAAAATCATTAGCTTCTTATTAGAATATATTCTCTTAAATTGATTTCAACGTTGTTCTATTTTAGCAATATTATGAAATAATTATGGCAGTAAAACTTCAAAATTTCTTACCTTAATAACGCTAATGCACATATTTATGATATGCCTTGGTGAGGTACAGTAGTCTCTTGCCCTAATAAAACTTTGCAGGGATAGACTACAAGATTTACAGAATATCATTAAATTGGATATAAAAATGAAAGTTTTATTATATGAATAAACGTAAACATTCAAGAAAAGTAGATTGCACAGCCCTAAGACTTTACTGTACGCATGTTAGTACTAAAGTTATTAGTAATATCTAAAATATAATAGCTAAATCATTCTCTCATCACCTAATTTCGCCACAAGAAAGTTGATGGTCTCCTAGATCATTATAACCTCTCCTGATCAAATGTAAATAAATTAAATTAAATAATGCAGTTTAATTAAAATTTAACTGAGTCGGCATTAGTGTCAAATAATAGGTGAGGTTAGATGCGGGAGAATATTATTTTACCGTATACTCTCTTTGATAGAGTTACTTTTAAAGCTTTTCAAATCGTTCTCCAACGTTTCAGTCTATTAACAAGGAGTATGCAGAAGAACGATATTGGTTTATGTGGAAATTATAATTGTGATCAGTTTGCATACTATTATGCATAATTATACTAAAGTTTATTTTATTATTGAAATAAGAAGGTTGCAAACCTTAATCGCTGCAGATCTTTTGGTTGTGTCTAGCCATTTTTTATTAATTTCAATTGGTTTTGAAGCATTAGTTGATGCACTAAAATCAAGATTTATTAGGCAACATTATATCAAAGTGAGCAATAAAGATGAAGTGTATAACATTTATAGGTGGTATAGAGATGATTGAGATTGAGGTATCATATCGGTAGTTTTATACTGTATAACTACTACAGCTAACAACAACTAGCAATTTATTGCAGCTTGAACATACCAATATGAATTGAATTTTTCAACCAATGAAACGTAGAGGTTAATATTAGAAGTCTCCATTACGCAATTTATAGCAAGTCTAAGTCATTACATACGTATATATAGAATTTCGATTAGTTACAGTAGTTGCTTTAATGAAACAGTTTTAAATTGCCTTGCAGTTAAGAACCTGAGTGCCTCTAACTTAAACGGTGGACAATGATCAGCTACATAAATAAGTCTTGATATCTTAGCGGAACCTTCATAGTTGGCAATTAACGCATCAAATTCCTATAATGAATTTCAATGCAACGAATTAATAGACAGTTTAAAGAATTATAACTTGCCAAGAAGTACTATGCATGACATTAATTTACAGCAGCATTAGCTTACTAAATCAAGCTAGTATATATTAAGCAATCTTGCACTAGTACTGTTCTATCCGAGATGGCAACTTTTAAATGTCATTGGAATAGATAATCTCAAGAATCGTAATTCAACTTGCTATTCTGTGCACAACATTACAATATGGCAGCATTGTATACTAAACTAATTAGCAGTCCATCCTAAACAATCTTATGCATTGCTGTCATATCCGCGATGGTAACTACTTCTACATTCAAGTGGAACTGACAGTGGAATTATAATTATTTAATATTGTACATGATATTACTACATGGTAGCATCCATTTCTTAACTAACTGACTGTGCATTCAAAACCACTTTGTACCATTATTGTAATATCCGAGATGGTAACTACTTCTAGATCTCAATGCAACAGACAGTCTTATATAATTCGGGTACGATATTTCGGCAATTTAGGTGCACTGATCAATATACTATGCAGTGTGCAAGCGCGTATGATATTACTCCATGGCAGCATTAGTTTCTAAATCAACTTGAAGTGTAACGTCAACAATTTTGTACCATTACTGTATTATCAGTATCCGAGCTGGTAACTAGTACTCGACTTCAATGCAACAAACAGTCCGAAATTTATGATTTAATATCGCATTCTATATACAACATTACTGTACTGCATGTCAGTATTACTATGGTGAACTACAGTAGCTAGCAGTATATCGTAAGTAATCGTTTACCATTTCCGTAATATCCGAGATGATCGCTTCTTTTTCATTTTCACCGTCTACATTGTCTTGTATATCTACTTGCATAGGCTCGTAAGGATCCTAATCGATGAAGAAAAATAGTAGAAATAATATAAAACAATTGGAAAAGAGCAATATAAGTAGTCTCAAGATAGCACATTTTACATAGTTTATCCAGTACGTAGGTAAAAGGGTAAACATTTTGATCGATCCCGCTCAACCAATGAACAACATCAATCATCTCTCCCTTATCATGACTCTATCTGTTATGCACTCCATTATTTGTCGAATAATCACTACAACTGAATGGCTGAATACAAGCCTAGGCATCTGTGACGATGGTAGGCATGATTTAGCAACTGCTAGCTAGAAATATAGTAGGCTAATCCAAGGACTTGTTCACATAGTCCTTGGCTAATCTAACAACGCAGCCTTCGACGACTGCATATAATTAATATAAAAGTACAGTATCCATATTCCAATATGATCAATACATTGGCAACTACTGTCCTCTACACTACTCCATCATGAACATTTTTTTCTCTTCACTTCCTAATGCTATTTCTCCTTGAATCATGTCGATATCCAAATGCAGTAAAAATAAGAGTTTAATGGCTAATAAATAGAAGATTCTCCTTGGTAAGTTTTGCCTTACCTCCATGATGAGTTGTTTAGTAATGGTGTTGAATCAGCAGTGTCGCAGTGACTGAACTGCACTTGAGAGAGTACAGTACTTAGTATTGTACATTGTCTCTGGTCTTTGTGCGTCTTTTGTCGATTTGTAGCAAGTTTAGTATTGCACAACAAGTGTTGAATGTGTACAAACATACAGACTGTACAGTACATTACAGTACAGTACTGAGTTGTACTGTAGTCGTGGAAATCGTACCGTATCGTACCGTACTGAACCGTGCCTCACAGTATTTAGTATTGTACATTGTCTCAGCGTTTTGTGTGTCTTTATCGATTTGTAGCAAGTTTAATATTGCACAACAAGTATTGAATGTGTACAAACATACAGACTGTACAGTACATTACTGTACAGTACTGAGTTGTACTGTAGTCGTGGAAATCGTACCGTACCGTACCGTACTGTACCGTGCCATACAGTATAGTACAGAACTGCATACTGGTCATTGTACCGTACCTCGTATGATACGTGGGCCTCGTACGCCGACCGATTCTGTCCGTCTGTGATACATATTTTCACTGCTAAAATGATCCAAAAGTGATACAAGCACAGTATTGAAATTGGCTGCAGACTGAGTCTACATGTAGTCGAATGCTTGGATGCGACAGAGTACTTGCAAGTCACTACCTATCTGGACGCCATTTGATTGGCTTATAGGACAGTATCGGTAAGTCGTTCTCCTTAAACGGTCAACTTCGTTTATGACGGTCACTTCGTTTTAATGAAAGAAGAAATCCAACATGTCTCGTTCATCTTCGTCCACCCGAAATAATAAAGGTAACAGTAAAGGTAATGTTGAATAAGATGAAGAAATGAACTTAATGATAAAGTTATAAATAACGTCTTCGCATTGCTATGCAGGATACAATTTAGGCTACAGTAGGTTTAGTGTCGTCAAATTATAGTGTTTATTTTGCCTGTGAGAAAAGGCTAGCCAAGGATTTCAACAGTCAAACGACCAGGGATGATACTCCTATTGATACAGACACTACTCGAATTCATAGATAGACAGTGTCAGTCTAAGGCAGTTTTGCTTGCCATAGCAGCGGAGAAAATGGAGTCATAAAAATAAATTAATTCGCGTCTATTTGCCAAATTGGCCTATAATAGCATCTACAAAATTCCTACAGTAGATCGTCTAGACCGTACTCAAATGACGAAAGTAGTTGTTGACAGCATAAGAAATAATTGAATAAACTTGACCAAAGAATTTCGCTCAGTGATTCAATGGATTACATTAGGAAAGTTTCAAAATGGAGTCTAATTGATGTTAGCGTCATAATGACAGTGTTCGACGACCTATGATTGCTGCGTAGCCTAGGGATCATTCATCCTCTATAGGAGTATAAACTTGGACTCTAAGAATCACTTTGATAGGGGCTATCGAAGACTAAAAATAATCAATGCAATGCTCGTAGTACTGTATTTTTCTTGACTATTAACTAGAGGGTCAATGAACTCAAAGATGACTGAATAGATTATTGCGGCGGTGCTTTTACTCTAACAACCACTTCAATATGGCTATCGAAGACTTAAAATAATTAATCAATGCAATGCTCGTTGTATTATTTTTCACCATAAATAAGAGGGTCAGTGGACTGAAAGATGCGTGAATGGATTATATTATTACAACAGTGCTTTAAGTCTAATAATGACTTGATATGGCTATCAAAGACTAAAAAAGAATCAATGCAACGCTTGTAGTACTGTAGTTTGCTTCACAAAGAGAAAGTCAATGGACTGGAAGATGGTTGAATGGATTATTAGGACAATGTTGGATCGAAGCGTAATGAGTTTACACATCCAGATCTTTCATCCGCGGTTTATGCTGAATTTTATAACGAACTTAAACGTGGCTATCGATGGTCGAAAAATCATACTATTCAATGTACTACTCGTACTGTATTTTTCTTCACAAATGGAGAGACTAGAAGATGGGTTGACCGATCGTGGATTTAGTATGGAGGCATAATGCGGTACAAGAAAGGAGCGTCATTGAATAGAATAGCAGTATACTACTTGATTCCTCACTACTCTCTGATATTATCGATTAAAATAGCTTCTATTCATTGATTTGAACATACAATTACAATCGCTGAATTATCCTTGCAGTATACTATGATGAAGTATACACAGATAGTTCTAGGCTAAGCTATGTAGACTGCCAAAGCTACTTATCGTCCCAGCACTTTCTACAGTACTGTATATGTATATTGACTGTTAGTATACTGATAAGTTGTTCACTTGAGATTTCTACCTATATACCAACATACATTGGAACACGGATACTGATCTTAGTATCTATATGCACGGGTATTTACGTTTAAAGCAACATCAGATCGCTTTTAATCAATCTTTCGCTCATAGATTACATAATAATGTACAGCCTACAGTATATAATCTACCATTTTCTAACGTTTATTGAAATCAAATGTGATCATTATAAACGGATATAATTACACCGTCAGAGAAAATAATGCAATATTTTTTCCGAGTAAAAACTGCAGACTGCATAATTTGTCTACACAATACCAGTCACGAGTTACGACCAATATCCGTGTTTGCTTTACCGGAAGTAATAGTAACCATAATGATGGATTTCATCATCAATTTTTTTAATCCTATTCAAACTGCCTAAAATTGTCCAAGGCAGTTATCTTTATTAATTTACGCAATATTTCAATATAAAGATTTTATTTAATATGCAGCCAGGACTGGTATAAGACGGAATAACGATGTTGACTTACTGAATTCGCATTTAGTATAATTGTGCATTGCTATGTGATATATTGACCTGAGAAATATAATGATTAAGTACAGTATACCGTACTAATGTAAGTTCGTCTTTTATTACTGCACGTATTGTCTTTGGATTATTTATTATTTACAAATTGATAGGAAGGCTTTAGTTAAAAAATACTAATTTCGAGTAAAGTATAAATTTAGAATAATATTTACGATATGGAATGTGTAAAGGCTACCAAATCAATTTCACTTAAAAGACTGAAGTTCTTACTCTTGCTATTATTGCATTCATTAATAACTAATAATTTTAGGGATATTGCAACGATAAACTATTTAACAACTTTCAAATCGATATACAATAGTCTCTCACAAGGAGTTCTCACATAGATCTACTATCAATGATTTATCTTGTGATTAATACTTATCATGTATACGTAATTTTTATTCTTTAACAGTAGGTGAAAATGGAGGAATAACTAACACTACTCACAAGTAAGTTACCCAAACGCAATAGTTTGATATCTGGTGAAACATATCAAATCATTACGTATACTTCAATTTCACTGTATTTCCACGGTAATGATATCGTATTTCCCTGCTACATGTTAATACTGTAGATTGATAGTAATTGAATTGCATCATACTTTGAATATCTTAAGCAATGAAATCCAATCTCAATGTTACAGAATGACAAGCAGCCGAACACAATCTCACGTAACATCATCTTCAGGATTAAGCCAAGAAATGAAAAGTGATCAACAAGCGAATGCCGCATATTTAAGGAAGAGTATGGACTCATCTATTATGTATTTTTCTATTCTAAATTGTGTATAATAAGAAATTATGCTACCTCAATGTCAATAAAATTTTTAAATAAACACTCATTGTGCTACGCGCCTTATTCATACAGATTGGCAAGAGATTGAGGAAATGGTTAATAAAATGGATTCAGGTACTCACCTATAAACTGTTAACTTCGCATTGTAATAATTATAATTCTTACTGCGTACTTTACAGTAATAAAAATAATAATCATACGGTATAAATGATTTTATAATTGATTTCTTATAAAAACTTGATACTTCGTTATGCTATAATAAGATTAACTTTTTAATGTTTCTGATTTACGTTGGTTATGCTAAATTTTGATGATATCTATACCTACAAGATAGCTACACTGTCATGAGCAGTGAATTATTTCAAACTTAGATGTAGACCATGGAGCCCATTAAAGATTTAACTTTGATAATGTGATGTGATTTTCCTTAAAATAGGAAAACACGATACGAAATTGGAGATTTATGTTCAAAAACCTCAGAATAATCGAGAGCAACAAGGTATCCTGATAAACGTTTATTTAATTTTTCAATTAATTTGTTAAAGATATCGAAAGAATATGGAATCACTGACATACAATATTACTCTTTTTAATTAGAAATGGCAAACATGGAATTATTTGATATCGATAGTTGGCTGGATCAAAGAAGAGTAAGATCTATTTGATATTGGCCAAAGTTGGCTGTGAAGAACGACTATTTCACGAAATATTTTTATTTACCAAAATGTTACTTATAATTATATAAAAATATATATATATATACGTATGCAATTATTATAAATGGACACCGTTTTTAATTTTGCGAATGCTTTAAGCCATGGTTTATGGATGAGATACTCCCATCCGTTTAGATTTGATGTTAAGATCAGGGTATTAGAGAAACAAATTCTCTCGATATCTTTGTTGTACAGTAATGTCATTACCAAAACGGCAGAAACTATAATTTATTTTTAGCCATTGTAAGCATATTTGTACGCTTAGTACACATTTTAGGGTTGTTAACGTTTGTAAAATACGATAATTTTGTTTCGATATACTATTCAACCTCGTAAAAATTTAAAAATTAACACAACGTTATGCACTATTCATCGCCGAAGTAGCAATTGCTGTGAGATGCCCCCCACCCCATATTATGTTATAGTGCAATTTCAGAACTCGTACGTTGAGTACAGAAAGTAGACTTTTAACATTAATTGTACAAAGCTAAAGCAATTTGCCCAAGCAATTCATATCAGTTTTACCACAGAAGTAATATTTATACCACGTGTAGACGAGTTTAAGTGTCAGCTGAAATCTGTGTTATAAATAAAAATATCGTATTTCATCACTGAATAAATCATGCTGGATAAACAATCAATCACAACGAGAACATTATAAAATAATTATAAATTAATTACATAGATTTTAATCGATTTAAATTTTATTCCGAATGCAAATGTTACAGAGATTCAACCTCAGAAAAAGCAATCGATAAAATAGCCGAAACTCTTGTCACGATATAATTGGCACCCAGAGTGGACTGATATTTTATTTATTTGTAAAACAAATTATTCTATCGGGAAGAGCTCTTCTTTGACTAAGACCTCTATGACTTCCTCGACATAATCATCTTCAGTATTCTTTTCTTCTTCTTCTGTAATGTAGCATAAAATCAAGACCGTGCAAACAATAATAACAGTCAATCTGCAAATCTTTTTTATATCAGAATGTAAAAAATCCCTTCAAGGTTTTATAATGTGCTTACCATAACGAAGGGACCTTCGTTGTACAGCTTCCCTTTCGTATACCTTCGTCTTTTGTTCACGATAAGTTGTGTAATCTTGTACAAGCTTTCGCCTCTTATCAACGAGTTCCTATGTAAAATAGTATGAGACCAATTTAGAAACTGATATACAATATGCTAAGTTAGAATCATGCCCAAGTGCTAACGGATTAAAAATACAATTTGTTGTTTTACCTTTGACGCTTTACTTTGACTCATACGATCTTTGGCATCGAAGGTACGTTGATATTTTTTCAAATCCTTTTTAATACGTGAAATTTCCTCGGCGCTGAGAAGAGTTGGAGGTCGAGGACGCCATGAAATGATTCCAAAGTTATCTATTTGTTCTTGGCGCAAACATTTTCCTTGGAATGACCACGCAGTATAACCTGCATCCATCTTAATACAATGAAAAAATTATCGATACGTAAGTATATAAGGTAGACTGAATATATAAAAATGTTACAAATAAATGTTTTTTAAGTTGTCTGTTACTCTATTACTGACCTTAACAGCCCAGCTACTCACTCCAGTAATAATATATCTTCCTGTAGGATCCCAATTGATATCAGTGACTTTAAAGTGTTCACCGGTACCCATAAGCGTTATATCGGTACTATCATAAAATTCTAGCACACCATCGGAAGATCTGAAATGCAAGTTTACATAAAATTTAATATTTAATGCAATATTTTTAGATAAGAATGTAATGACTGCATCAGTTAAACATACGTTCGTAATTGGGCCAAAACCACAAATCTGCCATTAGGTGACCAAGACACAGTATTTACTTGTACTTTTTCTATGGTTTCTAACAATAAAGCATAAACGCTACGTTAAATACTGCACTTGCAGCGACTCAAATGCAAAAGTATCTCAATTAAATTACTTAGACAAGATAGTTGTCCTTTAGCATCATGCAATTCGTAAAATGATGCAGAGCTGCGTACACCCTCTCCATGAATAACAACTAATTTTGAGCCACCAGGTTCGATTCCACAATCGACAACGGTATCTAAGTAACAGATAAGGATTGAGGTTGTGAGATTTAGTTTGAGTATTGTAGCCAGTTAAAAAAGAAAATCAATATAATTTGAATGCCTTACCTCGCAATTCAATATTATCTACCGGGATTAGCTTTTGTCTGACATGAAAGATTTCAAAGTTGCAGAATGAAATCTGTACAAGCATCAAAGTGGGATTTATAATTATAGAGAAATATTGCTACGGTGGATCACCTTGAAAATATTATAAAATAATTTAGGTTATATGTTACCTTCTTGTTTTTATTCATTCTGCTCACTTGAACACAAAGGTAATCCCCTTTACTTTGCCAAAACATTTTACACTGTACGTAAACAAATATAAATATTTACTCAAAAGAAACTGACAACACTACCGATAAACAACTACATTTATTCAAATTTATCTGAATAAATACTAACGTCAGCGACACTAAAGAGATTTTTCGATCGAATTTCATTTCGCGTTGGAATTTGCATTAACGTTACTCGAGCAGGGATATCTTTAACTTCTGGAACCCAGAAAGCCAAGACATGATCACCAGGAGACCAGGAAAAGTCCCTAGCGTAAAAATAGTACCCAATTATAGAAATATGAATGCCTTAGCCCAATAGAATTTTATTAATATAATGTAATTACTCACTTTACACATGGTATCTTGATACTCTTCTTATCTAGCAGTCCACACGTCTAAAATAAAAATAAGCCTTAATTTAACAATATTACAGGACTACCGTTGGTAGTTAATGAATATACCTCTGTATCATAGACACTAATACAAGCATCTTCTTGCCCAGCTTTTGTTATTCGAGCAAAATACTTTCCATCATGACTCCACCTATACGATGATAATTATGATCAGATCTCGATATAAATACCAGAATATTATTATGCTTGACTAAGCAATAATATTAAAGCTATTAGAGATTATAGTACTTACTTTAAGACAGGCCATCGGATTGCATCAGGTTCACAATAAAATCCACGTTTCTTTTTTCCAGTGCGAACATCCCAAATAATGATTGGCTCCTACGGTAAAAGTTGAAATTATCGTAAGGCAGTTTAGAACACTATATTAGCAACAATCCTAATATCTAACTGTACTAATTATAGATACCGTTTGATCATCGCCTTCCTTTTGCTCCAAAAATTCTGGACTGAATGAAACAAGATATCTATGATAACGATAAAAATTTGAATCTGTTCAGCAATGGATTATTCCTTTACATGTTTTTTACTTATCTCGAACATTCTATTACAGTTAATAAAGTATTTAATTACATACTCTACCTTTCGCATGGTGAGAAATCGATATGCTTGACATTTCGATGGGTAAATCTCATTTTTCTGTCGAATCCTTTACCACCCCATAAAATGATCCCCTTATCGTGACATGTTGCAAGGTAAGTACCTTTTGGAGTCCATTTAACTGCAGCAGATTCAGTCCAGTGCTAACATAGAGTGGAAATAAAACTATGAAGATTGTACTTGGTAGATAACGGTATTGGTACAGCCAGTAGTAATGTCTACAGAATATAGGCTTACCTCTCGTTCAATTATTAGCGTAGGACTGCGAGTACTATTCCAGTAAATGCCAGTGTAGTGGCCAAACTGCATAGCATACTGGTCAGCACAGTCAGGATCTTGTAACCACCAACGTAAATTCTCCTAGTTAAGTCAAGTTGTCAAGAACGAAAGATAAGTTAAAAAGATTAAATGATAATAATTAAACTTATACGTATTACCGAGAGTAGTGTATTAGTAAAATCAAAGTTTAAATTACAGTCATTTATTGCTATTAGATAATGAATATCGTTTCTACCTCTTCAACAAATGGATTAGGCTCGATTTTTTCCTGTGAAGGAGGAGAACGATACCTAGTAATAAGAATAGAAAGTTTCTGAGTGCATCATTCGGAATATTAACCATTTACTATAAAATTGATCAATGTAAAATATCAATAGACTCTAAGCGATATCTCTGACAATCGATCATTGAAAGGGTAGTTGATTGTGTTTAAAAGTTTAGATCAATAACGTAACAAAATATTTTTATTCAAATACTATCAACACGAACTTAAACAAGCATAATAAGGATAGATTCGCTTACTTTTCAAAATCATTAAATAGATTGACAGCAAAAATGTGCTGCTTATCAAGTGCATAACCATTGGTTGCTCTGCAAGCGCTGACAGCTTCTTCTTTGGTAGCGAATTCCAGGAAAATATATCTAGATTTAAATTTTAGTGTTATCATTCGTACACGTACTGAGAGGAATTGCAGAGTAGACAGCATATCATTCCAATATGCTAGTTGGTATCTTATGATTTCGCTAAAGTTACGTCTATTTCAACTGAGAATAAATGTTTATAACAGCACTGCAATTATTTGACAAAATATGATATAAGTACGAGCTTATTGGTTAGATCGTAAGAAGACCTATACTATTCATATGTATGCAGTATAGATAAAAATGGGTACTGCAATTGCGTACACAGCACTGAAGCTAGTAATAAAGGTGAAGTATTTATAAATGACTATAGTTTCATTCAAATAAGATATACTCGTGTTATTAGTTGAAGAATACAGGAAGTAGTCATTACAGCCTTCCAATATACAGTAGATGTATCTATGCATACATTATCGTAGCAAGAGTGCCAACATGTCAATAAACTACCGTTATTCCATCCATTTTCGTATGGCTAATCAGTTGGATACGATTCAATATCGTATGTATGCATGCACTAAAGTTAGTAACAGTATGCTAACTTACCCTTTAGTTTTGCCATTGCTACCTTGAGGAAAGTAATTGGAGGTTACATTTCCAAATCGACCGAAAATTCGTGTGATGACATTTTTTAGTTTTTCTAATTTCTCCTGACCAACTTCGGGTACATTGTCAACCACCAGTAAACTGCTGAGGTCATCATTGGCAATTGGGCAGATAAAACCGCCTTCTGCTGCGACGTCTACATGGTATGACAGATTAGAGAAAGATAAAAAGTTTAATCCATTTACTTTCACCTATTGCTACGAATTCTTTTATGCTATTACGACATGTAAGAGTGTATCCTATAGCTGTACCATGTCATGTTGTTTCATTCATAAGGATATTGGGAATGTCCGTTTTATAGTATATAATGTCATCGATACTAATAGTGGGTACAAGAATAATCCTACTTGTGAATTTTATGACTGCAGGTCATTGGCTATCGACATATCTATCTTATAGTTAACTGTACCATACAGGTTAGAGAAACACAATCGTAAGAAATCTACTTTACTGCAAAGCCTCTAATGTTGTTTCACTCATAAGGATATTAGAATTATCCGTTTTATAGTAATATCGACTACTACGCGTGGGTGCAAGAATGACCGACCCTACTTCAGAGTATTATGACTACAGGGTCATTTGTTATCCCTGGCAGCATGGAATACAGTCAGTAAAAATTACAATATTTAGTGGAACTCAATTGAAGACAAGCTATATGGACAAAACAGTACTTTTTTTTTTAACTTCTTATTTTGTTCACAACCATCGCTGTAACCGTATCACTCCTGTATGAGTTGAATAGAGAGGAGTATTGCACGTACTATTGAAGAACTTTTTGCACTCACTCATTCTATTTATGATTTTACAAAATTTCAATCAAGTTATCAATCGAGTTTCTACTTAGAGTTAGACTGAATAGTTATCCTCTGTATAAAGGTAGAATCAATTAGTGTAGGACTATCTGCTTGGCAGATAAAATTTTTCAAAGCATGAACTCGCTAGCCATCAAACAACGACCACTGAGTACAGCCCTTGCTATTTCCAACTTGAGTTGCTGTAAAATCTATGCCAGTCATACCTCTATCAGTTAAATTGTCGACAAAGTCCGGTGGATCTTCAAATTGAGCATCATCTATTTCGCTCTCATCAATTAAATCTTCGTCGTTCTCTTCTTGATTTGATTTGTCCGTGGTATCTTTCTCCATAGCCATGGCGTTGAATGATAAGATGGCCTCCAGCGAATGGCGAATCCAGTCTTACCGAGATACTGAAATACGCCAATCTTGGGTATAACGCCTGTACTGAATGGAGAACTTCAGTCTAATCACTGTAGGAGTTACGTCTGGTCGGACTGAAATCATATCAAATAGCGTTGGAAGCCCTACCATACTGAGCGTAGTGAATACTATAGACAGTGCGCCAGTTCAAAGCACATTACCCAAGTACACGTGGCCCCTGCGGTGCTAATGGAGCGAAACTACAGTACCGTATACTGTGTCTGTGGTGAATAGTACTGTGAAGTGTAGACTGTACACTGTAGCTGTATAGCGGTGAAGGGCTTCTCATGTTAGAGCAGAGACTTTGAAAGAGAAAATCCTGGCCATTTTTTTTTAAAACTCCCTGAATAGAGGTTATAAAAGATCAGTCAAAGTAATAAAAGAGACTTTTCACTACTGTACCTCAGCGAGGTGCATGTAGGGACTTGTAAGAGAAAGAACTTCAATATACTGTACAGTATAAGCAATAATCACTGTCAGCGCTGCTTTACTGTAAATACTATTATTACCGTGAGGCTTATCCAATATCCATAAGCATGGATGGACAACTAGACGCACCTGAGATGAATTGGGGATTCAAAGGAGAGTCAGTGGCTACCGAGTCATTGAGTCAATACCTACCTGTACAGATGAGAGGGGGGGGGGGTAAGCATTGATTCAAACCACTTTTGCTATTCTCGTATGGTCTACTGTACAGTAGTGTAATACTATAAATAGTAAAACTACCATATTGGCAGCACCTTCTGTAGTCCATGCCATAACCTGGTGAGCGTTTCCTCGAAAGCCACCATTATGCATCTAGGCAAAGGAAAAAAAAGCCATTTGACCACTTGTAGCCTACTACTAGAAACTCCTAGGAGTTTCTACTCTACTGTACTGTATCAGTATGAATTTCACTTAATCACTTCAATCGCCACGTGATTTCTACAGTATAGTACAGTACAGTACAGTACAGAGACTGTACAGTAGTTTAAATGATCCCTACAGTACAGTACTACAGTACAGTACTGTAGCTCAAATGATCCAAAGGGTAGAAAACCGATGCAATATCACGTCATCATTTGGCCATTGATATTGATTGATCGTGTTCAATCAATCGACCAAATTGGAAATTATTAGCTATCAACGGCCAATGTCATCAAGTAATCAATCCTTTCCAATTGCAGTGGTACTACGATAAACTAAGGATTCTTGTGTAGGATTTTAAATCATTTCCAACCCATTACGCACATTTTTGCAGAATTGAAGTGGATAGTCCAAAGGTAAGCTCACAAGTCACCACTCTCTTACCGGCTATCTGATAGCGATTAATTTTGTCAGTAGATAGATAGCAGTGCGATGGGATGGTAAATGCAAGGAACAAAGTAGGCTCTAGACTGAACCTAGGATAAGCAACTCACATTAGACCAGCTCTCTACTAGTTATTACATACTCGTATATCAGTATACTCGCTTTCTACTGCTGATTCATTCTATTGATTCATTGATTAACATGCATATGGTGAAGTAGATCGGTTTACCTAGAAGATACTTTACAAATATCTTACTGTACCAAGCCTATATGCATATGGATTAGAGATCATATCACTTTGCGTACTTAATACCATCAATAGGTACTTTGCCTATTTCTTACAACCAAAGACAAATGGATGCAACTCGCAAATGTCGTGCTTGTTCTGACTTTAAATCATGGGCCGGTCTGCAGGAGACCCAAGCAACCAATCAAAAACATACTACTAAACCTGATCCTCCCGTAGCTCAAGATAACAAGTCGACTGAAAAGAAAGAATGTCCATTATTTCTCGGCGAATTAGGGCGTTCGACCTGGGGATTTCTACATACCATGGCCGCTTACTACCCTGACAATCCAAGCCCATCACAAAAGGAAGACATTCATAAATTTATGCACCTATTTTCAAAATTTTTTCCATGTGATGATTGTGCTACTCATTTAAGAAGTTGGTAAGTCATAAAAAGTGTCTGAACTTGGAAACAAGCCCTTATTTTAAATGGTTATTATCCAGCATACTTTAGACATTATACAAATATAGCCTATAGTCTAGAAGAAAACTTAAATATAGAGAATAGTGCATAATAACATACAGATGTAATGAGCAACTATAATTGTATACTTTCCAATACGTAAGATCGTAGCCTTGATATGCATATATAATGTTCAATTATAATTGTAAACTCTTTCCTATTAAAAAGACGTTGATATTGATGCAATTAGGATGAAAGATAATCCACCTCAGGCTGAAAATCAAGATCGCTTTTCCAAATGGATGTGTTATGCCCATAACGAAGTGAACGGCAGGCTAGGTAAAAAATTATTCGATTGTTCAAAAGTCAACGAACGATGGCGTGATGGATGGAAAGACGGTTCTTGTGATTAACAGTAATGGATTATTTACCGGTTGTTATATCATGATATAGACTTAGTATTATATTCGATCGTCCAATGATGTACTGTATATTAGCTAATTTTTGCTACAATTGGTTAAAACACGCGGGAAATACTGTATATTATATTAATCTTTTAACCATTGAAACTCTGCACTATATCCTTATGTAGAATATTCTACATGCAGTTTCGGTATACTAAAAACTACAAGATAATCACTTTTATGCATTGTATATAGAAATTGGAAATTTTGTGATTATAGTTTTACTTGCAACAAGCGTTCATTGCAAATAAAATTCTTATTACAGTTTAACTAAACAATTTTATTTAAATAGTCCTCTATTTCGGTGATATAAAATCTCAGCAAGATAAATTTATCATACTTACATCGATTAATAATGATTGAGTACCTACAAAAGGATTATTGTAACATATCGTGCTAATATATTTTACTGCAATCTTTTCCAATCGCAGAAAATATAACACTTGAAAAATATTATATCGGGTAAAAAATGTCATTATCTATAATTAACGAGTAAGGAAAGTTTGTAATATAGCAGCCAATAAATGACGATAATTTAATCAACACACAGTCCATTGTGTCTGTGCAAGATAATTGTTGAATAAGACATTGAATATTAAATACCTTTACGTGATAAATTTGAAGTCATTTGATCACTACTAGAAAGTAATGATAAAAACACAATCAATTACTTTAAAATCGAGTGCCTTTCAATTGCTCGATTTTAATTCATCACCCAAGCTAAGCAGCAACATTTACTACTTAACATATATATAAATGGGAAGGTAACTATTGCTAGTCGGACATTATTATCCACGATATTACAGAACATTTTACCTTTGCTACAAAATCTCCTTAGCTACACATAACACACTTGGCTAACATAAAATAACATCATAATTAGCTTCATCGGTAACTTAAAAATATTCATATTTTAACCAAATTGCTCACATCTCGAGCTCATAATTAAATAGCACCTATAGTTGGTGATGGGGGAAAAAATCGCGATAAAAAGCAAGATACGTAAATAGGCACTACTGCTGTTCAAAAAACGATAAATATACGTATATATCGGTAATTACTCCTATAATAAAATGATACTTTAAAGTTGGCTACGGTAGTTAGTTTCACAAAATGTGCTAGACACTAAGGAAATATCCATAACCCTGATATTAATTGATTTCTCGATTAAAAATTGTCAAATTTAGACAGAAGACATTTGTCTTTTCAATGTAGCACTCAATGTAGCGCTCACAGGTCTATCTTGCGTGACTACTTGCTCTAAAAGTTCTTTTATAGCTCTTAATTCTTTACTCTGCGTATCCATTTCACGCTGCATATCTTTGATTCTAAAATCAAAAAGTTAATTAAATCTTTAATTTTTGCCATGAGAGTAGAAAATAACCAAAGATTATATCTATTAAAGTGTTATCATTGTCATTTTAAACAATTAATGTATCATATAAGGCAATTTTTTACATTTTTTATCCTACCTTTCATATTGTTTATCAAAATCTTTTGACATTTCTCGAACAGTTTTCTCCAATTTCGTGTCCTGACTATCATAATCAACTAATGGAGCTGAAATTTTTTTAGTCAGCATGAATAAAGGACTAAGATAGCGATTAACCTGAAATGAAAAAGCAAATGAATTAAAGCGGCTGCTCTACTTGAATAATTGCCCTATGCATTCTATCTAATAAATCATAATAGGTGAAAATTGGCTATTTAAAAATGGAGTGTAGGATGAAAGCCTATCAAGCTGAATCATGTTACTATACTAAATTTTATAGGTTAAGGTTTTATTGACACAGAGATACTCTAAATCGAGGCAGACGTTTACTAAAACTACAAAACCAGCCAATCTTTAAGAATGATCCACAATATCTCCTAGATATATGAATTAACTGGAGAAATTGTACTGGTGCAACATTATTTTAGATACTAGAGACTATCACTGCCGAAAAGTGATACTAAATTAATTGTAGAACTATGAAAATTACAACTTGGATATCAATACTTGATAAAGGAGCTATATTAAAAATTTCGAAAAAGATTATAGCTGCCGATAAGTGATTTAGGTTCTATTTCGTTAATTTCCCCTTGAATCAATTATAGAACTACGAAGATTACATCTTGGATGTTAATACTTGATAAAGGAGCTATATTAGAAGTTCAGCAGTGAAGAAATACGAGAAAAAAAGCGCTAAAGTTGCGAGATTCTATTGCTAGTTCACAATGGCTCGGCTACAAACCGCAGAATTTGGGTCATTGGGCCTAATTGCATTTTCAGATAGATGAAATCGGCATTGCAATGATTTCCACATCATAGAATCAACTTCGTCAATGAAATAAACCTAGACAAATTCATTCCTAAGATTAAATTACTTTCCATACTATGTCTTTAGTAATTCATTAATTAATAGAGTTTAACTGAATTTGCCTGTGAATAGGACTAAATTAATAACCTGGCTTTGAATTCGGGCAACACCTGCTACATGGCGTACACCATCAATATCACCGACAGCTAAACCAACCTAGGAAGTAATAAAAGAAATAAGCATTAAACTCTTCTTCGATATCTGTTCATCTACATTGATAACTATGAATTTTAGCCAATAAAGAAATCTTACCAGTAAATTCATTAAAATAATCGGCATCAGGATGCAAAAAAAAGCCAGAATAGCGCCTACTTCAGCAGGCACGTCAAATGGAATGGAGTTGGTGCCGCCCATAACAGAAGCAGTAGTTGAACTAGCTGTTCTATTAAAGAAGTGAGGTAAAAATTCTTCGAATTGAATTTCACCTAACATCATAATTAAAACCCGTAAGAGCGAGAGCGGAATAGTTTTGAAGCTATCCTATAGGTACAGAGGATAAGAAATATCGTTTTAACGCCAAATAATTTGTCATCCCTTTAATTGGTGTGACATTCATAAAATACAATATACCATTTGTTGATTTGTTAGCAGAAAAAATGATAAACCAAAACCAAGGATGAAAACGGAAAATAGTAGTAAAACCTATAAATCAAAGCAAGACATAAATTATATCAAATAGTAATTTGCGCATAGTAATACAGTAGATCGATTTAACTACCCTTTGAAGCTATCTTACCCGCAAGACCGATTTCAGGACAGCAACAAACATAATAACGTAGGTGCCAAGGGCAAATCTATAACAAAAGTGGCAGTTAATAAACTGCTATACTATAGGTTTTCTATGAGAATTCATACAACTGGTAAGGTGATTACAGCAACGAGAACGCTTAGGTATTGAGACAAAAATGTAAAAGTAACTATCGCAATAGCCTATAAACAAGTTTGTAGCTGAAGGAAAGTTGAAAATTGCGATCTTTTGCATTCTGTAAGATTTGCATCAAAGACTTCAAGTTCCTTCTCTATTAACAACCGAATCTAATATCTACCTTTAAATCTGCTGGTTATATCACAACATTACCTTAGCACCAGATACTATGACGGCAATTTCTACTTAGTCTATACGATCTGAACATTTATAGCTACTCTCTCTATCCATACCTTTGAAGATATAACAGAAAATGGCACCACGCTAGTAGAATAGCAACAGCTCCAGCAGCAACTTGAGTACCTCGAGGTCGATAGCCATCAAATAATCCGAAGGTGAAATTAACTATATCAACTTGATTATTTGCGGAAAAGGTAATGGATCTTTCGGCTGGAACAACGTACAGTAAAATCGAAATTGCAACCGACCAATCTAATACTTTGGTCCAATTTTTGAAGTACTTCAATCTCTATTTGCAGATATAGTGTAGAAATGATTAAATGTCATGATTGAGTTAAGTTATTAAGTACAACTCATTTTCCATAATTTAATCAGAAATCAATTTACAGTTTCTTTTTGTTAATAATTAACCTTTTGTAGGATTTGAAATAACTGAATAATCAAGGCGATGCAAGACATTAAGACCAATCCAACTTGTAAAACTGTAGTCTCAATTCTTGTCTAGGTATTAATATAGAAAGGATGAAATGAAAGATTGTGGCATGAGCTGTACGTATACGTGTATAAATAAGAATTTTTATTTACAGAATTTATTATACATAAGTTTAAGTAATTACGTAATAGAATAAATATAATAAGTCTTTCTAGAAAGTAGATTTTAATTTTGTTTACCTCGTTAAAACTTTGGAATGTTGTGGTATAAATCATGAATATCGTTACTGTTGTTAGGTAGATTACGTAAGCAATAAATGCCGGATAATATATCCATCTGCCATACAAATTCCTGTATTTCGTTTCCAATCAGAGATAAAATATAGGACAGGGCATTCAGAATTCGATCAACTAATTTTATCGTCATTTTAAGCTGCTAAATGAGCGTATGATTGTGCCGCTATTAATTACAGTAGAATTGATTATTCTGATTGTTTCAATTTTAAAATTAAATGGATTCTCAGGTCAAGACCTTAAGAACTCACTGAAGATGAAAACCTATCTAATATCTGTATTTCTTTCGAGCATTACAAATGAAGATATTCTGATACTACTGTCCAAACAAGGAATGATAATTTTGATTATTAAATTTAATTATTCAGTCCTAAGCTAATCTCAGCATACTCTTCAAGCGAAATAAATTAAGCTATTTTGATACTGTTATCTGGACAAGAAGTAAATACTATGATCAATTAAGTTCAATCATCTATTATAGAATTGATGTTGATATTACTGATATCAAATTATTTTACCACTTGTATTCTAATAGATGTCTTGCTAACGGGTGATTTAATAATGTCTCACGGTTATTAGAAATCATATCCTGAAAACGAACAAAAAATACGATTATTGAACTTCCGAGATGCCTATAATATAGCTACTAAAATAGAATTACTTACGAGATAAAGCACATGATGTATTGTGTAAAGTTTTATATTATTTTATGCGATATATCTAGTAAATATCTTTACATTTTACGTACTTTAGCAAGA